GTGTGTGTGTGAGAGAGAGAGAGAGAGAGAGAGAGAGAGAGAGAGAGAGAGAGAGAGAGAGAGAGAGAGAGAGAGAGAGAGAGAGAGAGAGGTCATGATCTGTTCAATTGTGTCAAGTTGTCAACTGTTTCAACAGGAGTTACATGTGTATATCGTTCAGCAAATTGCCAAGCACTGGATGTCTTGGTGTCTTCTACCACTACATGCCTTTGACAGCAAGGAAAAGCATATTAGAGGAAGTAGACGTATAAGGCTCATGGGTACTGCATACGACAGTGCGTAGTATCATCAGTGTTCCACGTTTCGAATTATTCAGAAGTGTGCAGACGGGCGTGTCTGTGAAGTTGTGTGTGTGTGTGTGTGTGTGAAATGCTGAGATGAGTCCACTGCGTCCTTCAACGCAGCGAGCTGTGAATTTATACCGCACAGTAAGCATAAATGTCATTCCACTGGACACAATCGTATCAATTGATTAAACTGTCGATCTAGGCAGGTTATAGCACAAGGCAAAAATGAGCTCGACCTTGTCGACTCCTGACACTCTTTTTGTCCACTGATTGGAGGTTTGTGGGGAGGGGAGAGCGAGAGGGGGAAGAAAGAGAGAGAAAGAGAGTAAGAGATGGATGAAGAAAGAAGGAAGGAAGGATGGAGGAGGGGAACGGGAAGTAGAAGAGGGAGGCATACATAAATACTATAATAGGAAAGAATTCCGAAAATTTTCAACGAGAAAAACTCATTGTGAGCGACAATAGATATTCAATCATTGAGAGAATTTTCAGCAGGAATTATGAAGTACTCGTATTCTCAAATTGGACCCATTCTGAAACAGCGTACCAATACGCTTGTATGTGAATCAAGAAGGGAGAGAACTTTTCCTCCGGCATAAAGCAAAAAACTACACGCAAAATTCTTCAAATAAGACGGCATGACGAGATATTTTCATGCTATCACCGACCAATTAATATGCTCAGTCCCATTTAAACAAGTTGCTTCAACCGGTCTACCAAAAAGCATATAGTGCATGGGTCCTAGGGACCATCTCACGCAAATGTGTACATGTCATGCATCATCTTCACACGCAGTGATCAATAGTATCAACCATAGACAAAGATAGAGAAGAAGAGGACCGAGTTTCACAAGTTATATTATCAGAAATATGAATACAAAGTGTTTCAGAGTTCCCCTGAGTCCAGCGCTCATCAGCCCAACACCAATCTCTTATCAACTCATCAATATGGCTTTCAATGTATCAGCGCTRCATCTGCAGACAATCTCCAAGTCGTCAATGTGGTCACTACTTCTTCAGCGCCACCTCTGCAGGTCACATCTAACCCAGGTAAGTATCTTCCATAGCCGAACCTTGAATGAACACTTTCAGCCTCAGTCCCTTCCTCCTAYGATGCATACACACTCTTCACTCATGAGGATCTACTCTGGATACTACTCATAGCTACATACTAACCCACTACTACTAATGCTAACTTGCTGGGCAGCTATGGCTGCATCACTTCCAGCATACAGGCTTCTCCCTTCACTCAGTGCATCTTCTCCTTCCAGCGCTGCTCCTACTGGCTCAACGCACAAGTGCACCAGCACTTCCACGCATAGAATGCCAGTGGAGATCTGGCGAGGAATGAGGCTGGCTGCCTCCTTTATACTCCTCGCTGGGTCTGCATTGGCTCAATCCAGCCTTCCTTTTGTCGCAGACCCTGCATTGCATGTGTCCCAGTAGAGTCCCAATGAAGTTCAACTGCTGCTGAGGCCTCCCGGCCTGAATTTGGATTTGAAAGTCTGGATCTGTACTGACCCCTGGACTTAGACCAGAACTGGGACTGTGCCTATTGACTTTACTTTCGGACAGGCACAACTCTCAACGAACAGACATTTACTGCTTGAACAGACACTTTATTTTGCACCAACAGGTACACTGCCTGCACGTACAGACACACCCTTACCCGAACAGACATGACATACACATCTCCTGGTGAACAGGTAAGTCTTTTGACAATGCCCTTTGCCTTAGCTTTAGATATGCCTGTTGATAGAGAACTTGACCTTTGACCTGCTTTCACGTTTCTGAGCTCTGGCGAGATACCTTTTCACAATGCTTTACTTTTTCAAGGCCCGTGCTGCTTTATTTTTACAAGGCCTGAGGCCTATATCGGGTAAAGGCCCTTTTAATAGGATCAAATATGCTATAATCAATAAGCACATCCATCCTCTCTAAAAAAGCCTTGTCCTAAAAAACATCGAAGTTCTAGGAACTATCCTATTCGAACAATGGTATGAAGGAATTCATGTCGGTTAAAAAAGGTTGATCACGACATGCCCCCAAAAATCATATAACAAAATAATCAGGAACAGAAGAAAAGATAAGGAAATTGCAAAGATGGAGATAATCGCAATGATTATTAAGGGGAGGAAAAAGGGGGGGAGAGAGTCAGAATCCCCATCGCCACTATGGACAAAAGCTGGAGAGCATACTGGAGGGGGGGTACTAACAGAACGAAGAGAAGTTCGAGCCATATTAAGTGCCAAGAAAATGACGGCAATAATAGCAGCACAGGCGAAGAGAGCAAATAGGAGAGGAGCCAGACGGGAGATTTTAGACATCTTTTTATCAAATGCGAGCAGGACACCTATTAGAGCGAAGATCGATAGTGGAATAGTTTGCCGGACAAGGAGATAGTAATAGCACGTTTCTCTGATGCAGTGCGTCGAGAAAACTGAGGAAGGCTAATGTTGCTAACAGCAGCGTGAGCAAAGTCATTAATCCGAGAAAAAACATGCTCTGTTCCATAGGCTTGCTCTCTCTCCAATCCTCTTCT